TTCCCACATGGTGTCAGCGCGCACAACCACGCACCTCGCGCCGCCCCGTGATCCATCACCGTCGGCGCGTGTCAACACCAACCCTCTTGACGTAGCCACGCCCGGCGCGCTCACACGCACGCCGCCCCTTTTGTCAGCACGTACCACCACTACATATGTATAATCATTTAGGAAAGAGGTCGAATATGTTTTTTTCCTCCAACAACTGGTTCTGATTCTTTCATGTCCACAGCGATATCATCATATTCAGGAGATCGTGCCTTTGTATTACTTTGCAGAGCAGTGTTAAAATGATAACCCGGAGGGGCAAAGATTGCACCGTGACACACGATAGCGATGGGATCATACAATTAGTAGAGGCACTTGAAGCGGGTATCTGTGCAGAAAGTAATAATTTGGGAGGTGTAATGTTGACGTGGCTTTTTTCATCTCAAGTCAACTTGTAGACAAGAAATGTTTCTCTCATCAGCTCTCTTCTTGTTTCTTTCGGTAAAGTCACGTAGAAGGGAAGTAATAAAATAATAAAAATAAAACATAATAAAACAATTCTCACGACGTTTCGGCTACAACGCAAGCAGCCGTCTTCAGGTGAAGAATGAGACACTACCAAACTAGGAGCTTATATATAAGCTGCATTGGGGGTTGAAGAGCGCCTTAACAAAAAGAATGTGCATGTGAAGAGGGATTTAGCATATTCATGGAAAATGCGTAGGCGTTGGGCGGGGGGGTGTCAAAGTCATATTATGCCCATGCATTATGCAGGATCAGCAGCAACCAAGGGGGGTGCAGGGATTAGCAGTAACAAAGGAAAGGAATGTTAATGATATGTAGCTGCAGTTACTCAACAACACGTAGAAAACTAAAGTATAAACTACATAAAAAACTAAAGTATAAACTGCATCGCACCATCAGTATACTTACTATACTCTATAATAAGCTGAGTTACTAACAGCAAGTAATACATTACAATTTTACCTCGTAAAAATTCTATAATATGCTTCCATCTAAACCTTATTCTCTTACATCACACGAGCATATACCGTACTATATACTGCCATAGATAAACCCAACATTAAATTATATACTGTATTGCTGTAAACCAACCTATATCTTATATATAGGTTGGTTTACAGCAATACAGTATATAATTTAATGTTGGGTTTATCTATGGCAGTATATAGTACGGTATATGCTCGTGTGATGTAAGAGAATAAGGTTTAGATGGAAGCATATTATAGAATTTTTACGAGGTAAAATTGTAATGTATTACTTGCTGTTAGTAACTCAGCTTATTATAGAGTATAGTAAGTATACTGATGGTGCGATGCAGTTTATACTTTAGTTTTTTATGTAGTTTATACTTTAGTTTTCTACGTGTTGTTGAGTAACTGCAGCTACATATCATTAACATTCCTTTCCTTTGTTACTGCTAATCCCTGCACCCCCCTTGGTTGCTGCTGATCCTGCATAATGCATGGGCATAATATGACTTTGACACCCCCCCGCCCAACGCCTACGCATTTTCCATGAATATGCTAAATCCCTCTTCACATGCACATTCTTTTTGTTAAGGCGCTCTTCAACCCCCAATGCAGCTTATATATAAGCTCCTAGTTTGGTAGTGTCTCATTCTTCACCTGAAGACGGCTGCTTGCGTTGTAGCCGAAACGTCGTGAGAATTGTTTTATTATGTTTTATTTTTATTATTTTATTACTTCCCTTCTACGTGACTTTACCGAAAGAAACAAGAAGATGAATCCCTGCAGTCACGAAAGCTTTAAATCATCAGCTCTCGTTTAAAAGGATGGTTGGCTACGTATGGTGCGAAAGAAGTTCAACATATATACTGGACAAAGTGACACCATAACATCCTTGTCTTACGCCTATACCCCACTATCCATGCTGTCAGAAAAGTCCAATAACAACACTCGAAAACGCTTTGCATGAATTACTAAAAAAACTAAACTATTTATTATTTCAGAAGCAACCTGGCCACAAATGATAGCTCAACGACGTGGCTTAGCGTGTGAAATTTATATCAGCCAAATACTCTCAACGCATGTTTCTAAATGTGGAGAGAAAAACAGGAAGATCCAGAGAAAAATCCACGTGACCACGGGGAGAGACGTGCCAACTCCAAATATACAGCAGGCGTCAGGGTTAGGATCAAATCCACAATCTCCAGTATACCAAGCGAGCTACTGTAGTTAACAATTCGCTACCGTGGCGCCCAAATAGTAAACACATTAACGGCTTTAGCTATAGTATTAGACTCTTCCTGGGAGCAGTGCAATTGTTACAGTACAGTGCAATTGTTATGCTGTGACATGGCCAAGCGGTAGCGCATTCACCGCTCGTTTCAGAGGTTCCCGGTTTGAATCCAGCGGCCGTCCTGGTTATCACTGCGGCTTTATTAACAATGCGAAATAAGCGCCTGTCTGCTTTACAGTTGGACGTTAAAGACCCCCTGTTATTCGAAATGAGTTGGCCATTGTTTCCCGGGCGTTATGGTACCAAATTTTTAACTTACCCGCAAGTTACTCAATTGGAATCCACACAGCAATCATCGCCCACCCCCCTCTCCCCTTCTCCTCCACCGGAAACTTGGCAGGACCCTCCTGGGGAAGGGTCTGGAGACTCGGTGATGCCTTACAGGGTAAAACAAGTAGACATACAGCAACACCCCGATGTCCGTACCGATTCGTTACATATTTCATGACTCTGTTTGTCACTGGCCGTCTTGGCACTTTGGGCCTCTGGGCCTGTGTTCAGAAAGTGTGATTACAGAAGAAGAAGAAAAACATCCCTCCGATGTATTGCATTCACATACAGTGCCAGTATTTTCCAACAGCAGCATTGGTTTAAGCGATTTTCGACCTACACTGACCAGCGCTGTGAAGTATGGTCAAACAACACGGCGTGGGGAGACCTTATTCAATCATTGGATTGCACATTGCTGTAAGATACAGGGGGATTTAGGTCTGAACAATGGGGAGGGGGGGGGGTCTGTGAATGTGTACATCAATTCTAGATTTGAAACTTTCGTGACTGCAAGGATTCATATTCTTAGGTTTTTTTCGATAAAGTCACGTAGGTAAAAAAAATTAAAATCAAAATTTATAAAAGTTAAATAAAAAATAAAATTAAATCACGACGTTTCGGAGGCAACACAAGCTTCCGTCTTCAGGTAGAACCGTCACAGCACGACTGCTGCATCAAGTAAGAGAAATTCCAAGAAAACTTAACTTTAATTTTTTTACCTACGTGACTTTACCGAAAAAACCCTAAGAATATGTACATAAATTCCCAGATTTAAGTCGTTCCGCAATACGTCGTCACTTCATCATTAACACCGCCACCTGATTCAACCGCCACGCTCACGTCGCTGTCAGCGTCATCGCCGTCCGTCCCTTCCTCGTCATCCGTCGCCTCTCAGCCGTCGCCTCCACCACCCACCACGACCAAGCCTGTAAACGCCGCTTGGGTCTCACCTCGTTTCGATATTCGTCGTCGCACCTTTACAGGAACGCATCCCCGACGTAAGCCGGGCTTTTACCGCAATCGTAATAAATAATCATACGGTATTCATAATCGTGATGTTAGCAGCAACGCTCGTGGTAACGACTACGCGTGTAAACTGGTGGTGATTGTGCCATTGGTAGTGATTGCAGCAGCAGTAGCAATAGCAGCGTGTTCAGCCACGCAGCTCAAAGTTGGCAGTGGCAGTAGCGGCTGCAGCCTCGCTGATCACTCCCTGCAGCAAGTGTCTACAGCCCTACTGATGAGTCCCAGCAAGTGGCTACAGCCTCACTGATGAGTCCCAGCAAGTGGCTACAGCCCCGCTGATGAGTCCCAGCAAGTGGCTACAGCCTCACTGATGAGTCCCAGCAAGTGGCTACAGCCTCACTGATGAGTCCCAGCAAGTGGCTACAGCCCCACTGATGAGTTCCAGCAAGTGGCTACAGCCTCACTGATGAGTTCCAGCAAGTGGCTACAGTCTCGCTGATGAGTCCCAGGAAGTGGCTACAGCCTCACTGATGAGTTCCAGCAAGTGGCTACAGCCCCACTGATGAGTCCCAGCAAGTGGCTACAGCCTCACTGATGAGTTCCAGCAAGTGGCTACAGCCTCGCTGATGAGTCCCACTAAGTGGCTACAGCCCCACTGATGAGTCCCAGCAAGTGGCTACAGCTCCACTGATGAGTTCCAGCAAGTGGCTACAGCCTCACTGATGAGTCCCACTAAGTGGCTACAGCCCCGCTGATGAGTCCCACTAAGTGGCTACAGCCCCACTGATGAGTCCCACTAAGTGGCTACAGCCCCACTGATGAGTCCCAGCAAGTGGCTACAGCCCCGCTGATGAGTCCCAGCAAGTGGCTACAGCCTCGCTGATGAGTCCCATCAAGCGGCTACAGCCCCACTGATGAGTCCCAGCAAGTGGCTACAGCCCCGCTGATGAGTCCCAGCAAGTGGCTACAGCCCCACTGATGAGTTCCAGCAAGTGGCTACAGCCCCACTGATGAGTTCCAGCAAGTGGCTACAGCCCCGCTGATGAGTCCCAGCAAGTGGCTACAGCCTCACTGATCACTCCCAGGAGGGGGGGGGGGGGGCGCCACCCTCGCGCCTACGTCACTCCGTCGCAGGCCCGCCTATTGGCCGCGCGCGCGTCACGTGCGCCAAACATTCCAGCTCGGCGTCGCGGCGACCACGAAGGCGAACAGGGTGGAGAGCGGAGAGAGACGCGGGGAGAGACACGGGGGGAGAGACACAGGGAGACGCGGGGAGAGACACGGGGGGAGAGACACAGGGAGACGCGGGGAGAGACACGGGGGGAGAGACACAGGGAGACGCGGGGAGAGACACGGGGAGAGAGAGAGAGACACGGGCAGAGACACGGGGGGAGAGACACAGGGAGACGCGGGGGGAGACACGGGGAGAGACGCGGAGAGAGACACGGGGAGAGAGAGAGACACGGGGAGAGACGCGGGGAGAGAGACACACGGGGAGAGAGACACGGGGAGAGACGCGGAGAGACACACGGGGAGAGAGAGACACGGGGAGAGAAAGACACGGGGAGAGAGACGCGGGGAGAGACACACGGGGGAGACGCACGGGGGAGACCGAGACGTGGATAGACGAGAGACGGAGCGACACGCCGGGGCCACTGGAGAAGACGCCGCCGCCGACGCCGCGGAGCAGGAGGAGTGAGCGCCGAGCCCGCGCCGCAGACGTGAGTAGAGTAGAGAGTAGACGAGAGAGAGGAGAGAGTGGAGGAGAGAGTGGAGAGTGTAGAGTGGAGTAGAGGAGAGTGTTGAGTAGATTAGAGAGAGGAGAGTAGATAGTAGAGTGGAGAGGAGAGAGATCGGAGCGGCGAGCAGGGGGGTCGAGAAGCGATACTGGCCCTGTCACTAGCCCTGTCACTCTGTCACTAACACTGTCACTACTAGCCCTGTCACTCTGTCACTAACACTGTCACTACTAGCCCTGTCACTCTGCCACTAGCACTGTCACTACTAGCACTGTCACTCTGTCACTAGCACTGTCACTACTAGCACTGTCACTAGCCCTGTCTGTCACTCTGTCACTAGCACTGCCACTAGCACTGCCACTAGGCCTGTCACTAACACTGTCACTAGCCCTGTCACTAACACTGTCACTAACACTGTCACTAGCCCTGTCACTAACACTGTCACTAACACTGTCACTACTAGCCCTGTCACTCTGTCACTAGCACTGTCACTACTAGCACTGTCACTCTGTCACTAGCACTGTCACTACTAGCACTGTCACTAGCCCTGTCTGTCACTCTGTCACTAGCCCTGTCACTAGCACTGCCACTAGCCCTGTCACTAACACTGTCACTAGCACTGTCACTAACACTGTCACTAACACTGTCACTAACACTGTCACTAGCACTGTCACTCTGTCACTAGCACTGTCACTAACTCTGTCACTAGCACTGTCACTCTGTCACTAACACTGTCACTAACACTGTCACTAACACTGTCACTAACACTGTCACTAGCACTGTCACTAGCACTGTCACTCTGTCACTAACACTGTCACTAACACTGTCACTAGCACTGTCACTAGCACTGTCACTAACACTGTCACTAGCACTGTCACTAGCACTGTCACTCTGTCACTAGCACTGTCACTAGCACTGTCACTAGCACTGTCACTCTGTCACTAGCACTGTCACTAGCACTGTCACTAACACTGTCACTAGCACTGTCACTAGCACTGTCACTAGCCCTGTCACTCTGTCACTAGCACTGTCACTAGCCCTGTCACTCTGTCACTAGCACTGTCACTAGCACTGTCACTAGCCCTGTCACTCTGTCACTAGCCCTGTCACTCTGTCACTAACACTGTCGCTAGCCCTGTCACTCTGTCACTAGCCCTGTCACTCTGTCACTAGCCCTGTCACTCTGTCACTAGCACTGGCACTCTGTCACTAGCCCTGTCACTAACACTGTCACTAACACTGTCACTAGCACTGTCACTAACACTGTCACTAACACTGCCACTAGCACTGTCACTAACACTGTCACAAGCACTGTCACTAACACTAACAATGACACGAGCACTGATACTACCCTGAAAGTAACACTTGCAATAAACCACCATTAAAACCAAGGCGAACACTAACCCTGACGCTAGCATTGTCACTGATATCATTAGCCTTGACACTAGCCTCGATAACGACACTTGCCCTGACACCAGCCCTAGAACTAGCACGACCAGTATTGCTCTTATCTTTACCCCTAACACAACATCAGCAATAACCCAAGCCCTGAACTCTACCATAACCACACATATAGCCCTGCCCGTAACTACCATTTTGCCCTACTTGACCCCATAACTCCAGCCATAGGAACACTTCTGACACTAATCTTAACCTTAGCTGTCGCAGTAGTTCTAGCTGTAACCCTCATCACAGCCCTACTGACACCTCCAACTGGCTTCTCTGGCTCTATTAACCCAAACCCCCTTAAACCCTTTAACCCTTTTGCTTCATCAAACCCTGGTTCAGCTTTTCCCTCCCCCCATAATCTCGATTTCTGGTTGTCACCGCTGACGGCTGCATGGACCGTGTCGTGGATTTGCAGCAGCCGGAAGCTGTTTGCTGGTGGCAGCGGTGGCGATTTAGTGTTTTGGCTGCTGCTGCTGTTCACGGTGTTTGCTGCTGCTGCTGTTGTGGTGTTGAGGTTGCTGACGGCTTCTTCTCGTTTGTTTGTGGCCATGTGGTGGGTCAGCAACAGGTTGGCCAACGACCGAATTCTTGAAGTTCAATGCCCCACCTTTTTATTGTTCACGGATTACGATTTAATGTACGTGTGTGTGTATGTGCTATTTTTGTTCATGTATATGAGAGTGTGGGATTGGGTGGACCGGCTAGGTGCTGGCCATCCCACACCCTCTCGTGTGCCGCGTCGGCCTTCGTAGGTGCTCGCTAACAGCACTTGACCCAACATTTTGTTAAGGCTATACGGGGGATCTTTGTCTTTGCTATTGGTGCAGCAGCTAAGCCAAGCATAGGTGAGATCTTCTCCAGAGCACTGTGCTAGTTTTTAAAAATAGTGTCTCTCGACTCTGGAGATTATCTTATTAATGAATGCAATTTAGCTTCTCATTAGGCAACATATCCGTAAAAGGAGCACCCTTTCGGCAGATATTTTACCGTTAATTATCAACAACCTTATGATCGTTCACCTTTAGTGCGTGTATTGTTAAACCCGTGATAAATGCATTGACGTGACCTTCACGGTAATATTGCTCTCGCACTACACATTTTGGTGCGAACACCGACCAGACTCTGCTAATGACCCATTAACCGTGACACATCAACTCCTACTTATCGTCGGTAAACGCTCACACCCATTGCGACACACTCCGGTTATGTGCATTGATTGGATCGTTCCCACTTCTCTTGCGTATCGTGATCGATCACGGCACGCATCGTTTGGGTTGTGCTCATCTCTGCACATGAACAGCTCGCTTGCGCCATTGTCACTTTTACACAGCGGACCGCTTGGCATAAACCATCTGCGATACCACGTGGAATATTAGCAATGAGGTTATTGCCGTAAACAGTATGAGTTGATATGTACTCCACTGTTGTGCTGTCCTGAGCTTTTCCCTGTTCCTCATACCTAACGTTGTTTTATGAGACATTAGTAATCGCTGAAACAACATGTTATCATCACCAGCGATGGTCCATCTACCGCTGGATGAAGGCTTCCCCAAGCCGTCACCATCTCTCATGATCCTGCTACGCAGTAATCTCGTGAGCGCCTGCGCACGAGCTGATTTCATCGCGAAGTCTCCTCCTGTTCCCAAATTTGGCTCAAAATGTCTTTCCAACTGCGCACCTCACCGTGCTTATTTGGCTCTTTACTAGTTTTAGATTCTTTTGAATCACCTATTCTATCCTTGCATGTGGAAATGTGCTCAGGAGTTAAATGCCAAATGTCCAGCTCTGCTTGACACGAGAGGGGCTTCAGGAGAGAGTTGGGGGTGTCATTCTGCTATTCCTCCTCCCTTCAAGGTGTGTAGACTACACAGTAGTGGTTTACTACGTAGTCCATAGTTTGGGTTCCGTGGCCACAATCGCACTGTAGATGTGTCTTTAATTTCCACTTCATGAAGGAGATGTGGACATCGGCCTGTTGATGATGATGCTCTGATGCGGTCAATCGTTGCACCGGTGTCATCGAGGAATGTCAAAATCCAGGAGGAGTGATGTGGAGTGTGGGGAAACCTCCAGGGCCCTTTGGAAGGAGACCTGTGCATTAGTCGTTCGACCCCTGTACCTTCAAGGATTCCAATCCTCCTGTGTAGCGTAACTGCTTCAGTATGAATGTTGTCCGAATGAGCAAAGTGGGTACGTTTAAAATTATCAACTAGTCTACTTACAAAATAAATAAATATTCACAGAATCATTTTCATGTTAAATAATTGCAGTTATTAGCAGTGGCTGTAAGCCAAATCAATTTGTATGCACTCTGCTCTCAGAATAATTGCATAATCAGCAATTTCAGAATTTAAAATGTCCAGCAGTTGTTGCTTATACACGCTCGTCTTTTTACTATAGTTTGTTTTTCCGAGCACAACCATTTTGCACGAAACTGTAATTCATTTATACCAGGAATACAGTATTAATAAATTGGAAATGGAACACGTGTTTTGAGTAATGCGTATAACAGTATTTTAACTGAATACTAGATCTTATCACAGCATATTGCGTTTTCAGGATTATATGGTTCCATCTAAATTTGTTATAATTATAAATTAACTTTGATGAAAAAGACATCGTGTGTGCAATGTTTAAGCTGATTAGTCATCTTTGGCAATGCATTACCACTCCACTTTCACTTGTTGTTGTTCTCAGGTTGAGAGAGACAGTTGATTGGGTAGCCTGCCTCCCCGCTAATGTACCTTGATGCATTTTCACAACCCACTCATCAAAGTGCCCTCTCGAGTGTAGCAGACTGTTGTGCTGCTTCGTTAAGCATTCATTCAGTCTGCGTTTGTAAGAGGCGGCAAAAGCCTCGTTGACACGAGCCTTCTGTGTACCAAGATGTCACAAAATTATGCATAGTCGTGTGTTTTACTGCCTCCAGAACACGGTTTGGATCGCCTAATGCAAGCAATCAGACATGTTTTCAAATATCCATTGGCTATGAAAGTGCCGGCAGACCATTGCAATGTTGAGAGCACAGTGTTTTGATTTCCACCAGACCAGCTAATGCAATGCTCAGCACACCCCGAATTTAATGTAAAACATGAACGCACGGACGGAAAGCCCCGTGCATTGCAATGAAGAACATCATGGTGGTAGCTGGCGTGGTCGTGGTTGGTTTGTTGGGAACGATTTTGACTATTCAAGGCGATGAGGCTATACATTTTGTCCCATCACTACTTTTATTTGATAATCTACAAATGTGAACCTCATTTTTCAATCGGTGCAACTGCCTTGCACGAAGAGCTCATATTTAAAGGCATTGTTTTTAAAAATATATATTAATTAATTTCAGTGAGTTACCATCTCATTTTTTTATATTGACAAACATTTGTATTGCCTTATGTTGAATTTAAAGTAGGTCCAATGCTCACGTATTTAATTAGCACTAGCCGCATTAGGTCAATGTGTGTTATACAGGTAGGAACAACAGTTCCACACTGCCCACCAGGGATTATTTGTCTGTCGTGCATAGGATTGGTTGA